AAGGCAAACAGAAGTGGGGACATGGGGTAGCCCTGCTTTACAGAGGAACAAATCAAAACTGGTTTCGACAGCTGACCATTAACGATAAGACGTGTTGAAGATTGATTTTGATTGTACGAAAGTTTAACGCACAACGGTGCCAACATTGGTATGTTCCAAAAAAGAGAAAACAAACAAATGACTAACACGATTGAAGGTTTTTGCAAGGTCTACTTGTAACATTGAAAGGTGTTTTTGATGTCCATAACAGTACTGAAGGACAGTACGAGCGACATGTATATTGTTCCATGTAGATCAGCCCTTAATTTCACATGTTTGGTGAGACCCAGTGAGAACAGACATCGCAAATCACAACCTATTTGACAAAACTTTTGCAAAAATTTTGTAGTCAATGTTTGGCAGAGCGAAGTTTTTCCTTGTTCTAATTTTTCGGTAAAAAAACTGTGTTGCCTTTGGAAAAGGATCTCAGGAGTGTTTCCATGCCATAACTTACTTTAAAGATATCCAGCAATATAGGAGAGAAAGCATTATAGAATGTTTTGTAAAATTCAGCAGAAATGCCATCAGGGCCAGGTGTCTTCAATGAAGGTAAGTTGTAAATTGTGTGCTGAATTTTCTATATTGTAATAGGACAACTAATGGCTGCACAATCGTCGTCATCCAATGGTCTCAAAAGAGAAACAAAACTAGCGGGGTTGAGGTTGACATCAGGATTAGAGAAAACACTAAATAGACTTTCATAGTACATTTCAAGTGTCGACCAATGTTGCTCTTGTTACACTACACTGGAACTACACCACGCTAACCACTACTTGCACCACACATAAGCAATGTTTCTGATCTGTCTGCATTTTCCAGTTCAGAAGCACAGATTTGACTGTATACAGCCAACCAAACTATAGTTCATGTATTTATAATGTGTTTGTTTTGTGCTTCATCAGATCAGAACATCCATATGTCGCGTTATACAGTAGAAATAAGGATAGTACCACCGATAATATGAAAGGCCTCTACAGTGATTTGCTTAGCGGTTAGTCATTTCTGTGTACGAAACATCGCACTTCTTAAGCACACTGAACAATTCAGTTTCTTTTTTAACCCTTGGATATATTTTCCATCATACTTGTTAACGCTTGTAAACAAGAATAACAAGTGTAATCCAATTCACATACCAGGAAGGCGCGCTGGGCTGTCAGTCATTTACACTACGCAGAGCGTGTGTGTTGCAATAGGTGAGGCATCATAACACATCTTGCTCTCTTAAGGGACTACCCCGTAATGATCAGGCACAAAGACTACGTGACAAGGACCGGTGCTGGTTGCCGGAGCCCTCGAGGTCTCAATTCTGACTGTTTTGGGCAGTAAATTATTGCTTTCGGTTCGCAGCGAGTCACCTGGCTGGGACAGAGTTCCGTTGTAAAAAACAGCTTGCCGTCCCGCGGCTGGCTCTGGCTTGAAGTCTTCGTTGACTGAGTTAAAAAGTAACGAGTGGGAGGGGGGAGAACGTCGAGCTTTGTTTGTACCCAGTAGGAGGTTCTTGAGTGTCTGCTTCTTCAGTTATCTTGCCCTAGCATTTGAGGTCTCGCACCCAGGCACAAGTGTTTAAAGAGAGCTGGGTAGCTTTTGGGCTGCATACGATGGTTGATATTTCATGGCTTGTTTGTTGTCGACATCACCGAGAACTAAGAAGGTGGGTGATGCAGGAACTCGAGGGCGTAGCTGGCATCTCATGAGCAATTTAGCCAGAATCATATTGGCACTCTAGAATCATATCTGAAATTTTCCATATCTTTGTCTACGAGGAGTGACCATGCCCCTAACATTGAAAATTTTTTTAACCCACACTGACATGTTCAAATACAGCTTTTTCCTTTCTACAAGTCTGGAATTTGCTGCCCGGAAGTGTTTGTTCTCTACTACTCCGAATAATTCTTGAAGCCTGTTCATGAATGTTAATCTGTTCTTGTTGATGCTTTCTTCTTTTCTGTCACAGTAATGCTTTTGAGGTGGTTAATGATGGAATCTGCAGAAGTGAAAGCCAGGAATGCAATCTGAGGGTATCGTGAGTTATAATCCACACACATCAGGTAGTTCTTTCCTTGAAGGTGGAATAAGTCGATCCCCACCATTTGTCATAAAATATCTCTGGTATAGTTGTCGCCAGAAGCAGCTCAACTATTTACGGTCAGTTCCTAGTGCGAGTTTCACAGTTGAAAACGATTCGCTGTATTTCGGATAAAATTCCAGACCACCACACAGACTGCTGTGCCCTTGCTCTGCGGCGTTCGACGCTTTGGTAACCATGTAGATGAGTGAAAATTTCATTCCTCAGAAAGCGAGGAATCACCAAGTCTGTTCTGTACAGCAGGTAGCCATTGTTTTCAGACAGACTTGTTTGGTACTGCCAATATAAAGAGAGGTGGGCTGAGACGCTGTATTTTTCCGGCTATCCATTAAGGCAAAGGCGTAGAAGATGCTGACATACCTCTTTCCTTTGAGCTTCTTTCCCAGGAACGAAGGGGGAAGTTTGCAGACCTATTAGTGCATCCTGTACACAAGCTTCACTTCATGACAAGTGAGAGTTCCTGGTGCCAAATTATTTGCAGTTGGTTTCTCGAGAGAGTGCCAGCAGTAGCAATGCTTTCTCCTGAGACATACTGCGTAACGTAGCTGACGCACATGAGGCACATGCGGAAGCATTGAATTCCTGGTGGCAACAGATCGAGATACTCTTTTCTCAGGAGCGGTGAACAAAGGTTGACGATGTTTGAAAGGTTGCCGTGACACCATGCAGGTATTCTTTTAAATGTTCGGCTCCCCAGGTTCGGGCCACTGCTTCCTTTTCTATCTGAGCATACCAAGTTTCCACCGGTGTTAGAGATCTTTAGGCAAATGCGCCTGGGCAGTTGTTCCCAGTTGGTTGCACTTGTAGCAGTACTGTGCCCATTCCGTAGGTTGATGCATCTGCTGAGAGGGTAGTAAGATATTCTGGATGGTACTCTGCCAAGCACTGCTTCGAACAGATTAGGTCCTGAACGCTTTGGAAGAACTTTTCCTGAGTGGGTCCACTCCAACATTTTCTTGAGGAGAGCACGGAGAGCGGTAATCCTTTCAGACAAAGTTGGCAGGCATCCAGCCAGATGGTTCACCATCCCTAAGATCCGGCAGACTCCGGCAACACCTTAGCTGGCAGAAGACACTTCACAGTCTTGACATTTTATGGTCAAAACGTGTGCCTTGAGCACTGCTGAAGGAGGTGACCTTCCTAGGCTGCCTAGGAAGGTCACCTCCATCAGGGTAAAAGCACATTTAGAGTGGTTGCGGACGATTCCAGAGGAAGCAAGCTACTTGAGTGTCTTGTCAAGGTTTCTGCCATGCTCGGCTTGATTGCAGCCAGAAAGGAGAATGTCGTCCATGAGGTTGATAACTTCTATTAGTCCGCTCATGTTTTCGTACATGCGTTTTTGAAAATATTCCATTGCTGATGTTACGTGAAATGGAAGTCTTGTGAAACAAAAGCATTCTTTTGGCGTTATGAATCTTGTCAGCTCTTGGCATGTTGGGGAGAGCGGGGTTAGTAAAACCCGAACTTGGGTCTTGCCTTGAGAAAACGGGAGGCGAAATCTTTCCTGGAGCACAGAAGAGTTGAGGCGGGTGAAGTCCACAGATATTTGCGCACTTCCTGAGGCTTTCACTACCGGAATGATTCTGGCGCAACAGTCTGTAGGACCTTCTACGGAGCAGATAACTCCTTGCTATTGTATGCTTACAACCTCCTGCTCGACTGCTTTCCGTAAGGGCAGAAGGATGCGCCTTGCCACAATCACAGAACAGCCGTGGAATTGGAAGTACAGCCGTGGAATTGAGGCGAATTGTATAAACACCTGGCAGCAGTCCTAAACCATTGAAAAGTTATGGATATTGTTCCTCCACACGTCGTGTGGCACACAGAAACTTGACGAGTCCCAAGCTTTCAATTGCGGGTAATCCAAAGAGTGAATGTTCTAGCTGCTGCACAATGTTGACCACTAGGTTCGACCCTCATGAAATCTACATGATGGTGGCATGGAATTCTATCATCAAATTTCACTGAAGCGGAACGGCAGAAAAAGGTGTTCGTTGCGGTGAGAATATTTATCCACTGACTCCTATGGAGTACTGACGAGAAACCTAGAATTTTTCGTTGTAGCGGAAAGTGTTTGTTCTTCCAAAAATATTTATGCATTGACTCCTAAGGACTGCTGCAGTAGAACCTACAATTTTTTGTTGTAGCGGGGTTCGACTGTCCACATACATACATATGTACATACATACACAGGGCATGACAGTGATAAGAACAGCTAACACCAAGTGGCAGCATCCATACAGTTGCTATCAAAATAAACAATTAAGGTAACTTTTCAATAAGGGTGCCAAGCCTGAAGGAAGTGCAGAACTAGACAGCCTTCTCTTTCTCTTTCCTCTTCCCCTCTTTCCTTCCTTTTGTGTCTTTTTCTCTCTTTCTTACTCTCCCTTTACCTATCTATTCCTTGTACCTTCTATTTTTGTTTAAATGATTTTCCCTGTTGTTCTCTTTCTATTTCTAGCTTGCTTCCTCTGTTTTTCTATTTTTATAAGTGGCTTTGCCTGCGTTCTGCCACGCAACAACTAAATACAACAGCTTTGTCCCCTAAAGTGATCTGCACTTATCACCATCGAGGCGCTCAAAGAACAAGAGACTTCTGGCCACGAGCATGCACTCTATCTGCTACAGATGCCTGTTCTATTCCTGGTTTTGGCGACTTTACACCAAGCTATATCAGCCTACTACTTTGGCCACGAGCATGCACTCTATCTGCTACAGATGCCTGTTCTATTCCTGGTTTTGGCGGCTTTACACCAAGCTATATCAGCCTACGATGACAGCATACGATTGCCCGGGCCCCTGAGTGCTCCACACTTAAATGTGTGCGCCAAAGTTCTGCAGCCCTCATGCAATAAACACAGCAATCGTCACTCACAACACAAGGAACGGTCGTGGACTCTGCTGCATGGGTCAGTGAGTACAGTAAGATAGTTGAAAGCATAGGCCCAGGCAAGGTTCTCGCCCACATGTAAGGACCCCAGGTGGCCGAGCTCATACTGTTGCTCCATCTGCGATGGTTCCTATGAGGCAAGCCAAACCGAAATGTCTCCATCTGGTCCTCTCTCCAGTTGTTGTACTTACTACTACACAATTAAATTTAATAGCAAAATGAAACAGGTCCAAACAATGAATAAAATCCAATCCATTAAGAACCACCTTTAAGAAAAGAAGTTTGGTGATGAAGTTTGGCATCTATTTTTTTTTAGAATGAAAAGTGCAAGAATACTAATCATGCAGCCGATCCCGCGCAATGTGAGAATCAATGTAATGCAAGAAGCTGAATACTTGGAATTGTTTGACTGAGACAAATCAAGGCATGTTGTTCACTATTGCATGTTAGTCATGCATGTGTGCATGTGCATTCTGGCATTTACCATATACAAAAAAGAAACTTATATTCTGGTAAATATTGTGCATCTCCTGTTATTTAAGTTTGTCATATTCATGGCAAGCCAATTTAAATACACATGAAGGCAATGAAATTAAGGCGATAGCACTAATATCATTTCATGAAAATACTCCCATGACATGGATGACAAGATTTCCATTCTATTTATGAAGGAGCACATAAACTCACATTTATATACACATAAGGAAGACCCAAACACAAGCAATGTACCAAGCAATGTGACCAGCTCGAGAGGCGGTATTTTCTTTCAATTTTAGAAGCCTAAGACCCTGGCCTCGCTTGATTTTGCTGCAATCAGGGCGACTGTGTTGTTCGGGTCTTCAGGAGAACATATTGCCGCGAACCATGTATTGGGTTTGTTTATTTGTGTTTTGTTTTTTCGGCCTGGCTGCGCCGGCCTGTGCTATCACTGTTTTCACAGCGTTTCGAACAAACGCTATCGAACAACGCTTCGAGCGTTCCGAACAAACAGCGTTTCGAGCAAACGCTATCACAGCGTTCTCGATACAATTCGACTATTCGAGAAACCCTCGCGCCGAGGGATATAAATTTCCGCACAGCCGATGACGCGACATTCGATCGCCGACGCTCACTAGCGTGCACGTCGTTTTGCCGACCGCTGCTTCGCCGCCTCTGTATTCTTTCACTTGTTAGTGGAGCACAAGTTCGCTCCAATGAACTTGTTTTCCTTATAGACAACTGCGTCGTCCTTTGGTGCGTGACATCTGGTGGAGGTGCGGGGTACATGAACCCTAAGCCATTGCGAAGCCGACAAGCAAGCCCAACACGACAAGCACGCCCAACTCGAGTCAGCCGCCAACAGCAAGGCCTTCAGCCAGAGTTTGGACTGCTCCCGGATAAAAGGAGGAAAGAAGACGTAAAAACGACGATGATCAACGCAGGCACCATGACCAGCGCTACCAACCCTCCCGTCGTTCTGCAACAACCTCGTGAGCCCCCATCATTCCGAGGATCTCCTGGTGAAGACCCGGAAGAGTGGCTGAAGAAGCTGGAGCACGTCCGCATCTTTAACAGGTGGGATGACGAAGAAACGTTTCATCATGTCTTCTTCTATTTGGAGGATGCAGCTAGAACGTGGTTTGAGAACCATGAAGGCTCCCTAACCGACTGGAATGTCTTTAAGAGCGAATTCCTCAAAACATTCATTACGGTTGTGCGGAAAGAACGAGCCGCCCTTTTGTTGGAAACGCGAATGCAACACCCTAACGAAGGTGTTGTACTGTTCGCTGAGGAGATGAAGATGCTGTTCCGGAGAGCTGACCCCGAAATGGCAGAAGAGAAGAAGGTGCGCTTTCTGATGCGAAGAGTTAAACAAGAGCTCTTCGCTGGACTCATCCGCAACCCCCCTAAGACCGTCGCTGAGTTCGTCACCGAGGCTTCGATGATCGAGAGGACCTTGGATATGCGTTCGCGGCAATACGATAGACCACTCAACACCCTTTCGGTGAACCCAGTAAACGCCCCTGGATTGGCGACGGAAGACTTCCGGGAGACCATCCGCGCCGTCGTTCGCGAGGAACTGAGGAAATCGTTCCCAGCAACGCCACAGCCCCAAGTCGCCTCCCTCACTGACGTCGTCCGCGAGGAGGTTCAGCAAGCACTGGGGAATTCTGCACCGTCGGAAGCATCTTACGAACCACAAGCAATGACCTACTCCGCTGCTGCTCGTCGACCCCGACCCGTCCCAACCCGTTATCAAGAGGCCCCGCCGTACCGCCGCCCAATGTCGCCCGCCCGACCCCCTGTAAACCGAAACCAGGCGCCCAGGAAGACCGAGGTGTGGCGAACGCCAGATAATCGTCCGCTGTGCTACCACTGCGGAGAGGCCGACCACGTCTACCGCCGCTGCCCGTACAAGAGGCTGGGTTTGCGTGGGTTCTCCGTCGACGCACCCCGCCCGCGAGCCGGCCAGCGCCCATTTGAGATCGAAGAATACCTGTCGAACACCAGCTGTGGACCATCCCGTTTCAAGCGTTCGCCGTCGCCCTACCCGTACCAATCCCCCAACCGTCGCAGCAATGCTGACTTCGCCAGTGGAAGGTCCCCCAGCCCACGAGCGGGAAACTAAAAGCCGCAACTCCTGGAGGTGAAGCTGCACAACGACGAAAAAATAAAAACCCTCCAACGACGCAGGACCGTGATTCACGACATGCCCTCATCCCGACGACCCGACGACACCGTGACGAGACTCTCGAAAATGACGACAGCTACGCTGCGCGACGCGTACCCGAAATGACGAAGCCTGCCGCTGAGAAGACCACGATGACGACGCATAGTGCCCGACCATCAACACGTGCAAGACGCGATACGACGCCCCGACGCACCCGAAATTCGAGGAAAGCAGCATGCGACGTCCAGTTGTGCATCGACAGCCTTGACATAGTCGCTCTTATCGACACGGGAGCCGACTACTCGGTCATGAGCGGGTCATTCGCGTCCAAGCTAAGGAAAGTTACGACCAGATGGGACGGTCCGCACATACGCACAGCAGGAGGCCACCTCGTGACCCCAAGTGGAATGTGCACATCGCGCATCACCATAAACGGCACTACGTACCCTGCGGAGTTCGTCATTTTGCCTAACTGCTCCCGCGACGTAATTCTCGGAATGGACTTTTTGACGGACAATGGCGCAATAATTGATCTGCAGACCAGGTCGATAACGTTTTCTTCCGATCACTCCACGACCCCGCAGTCGAACCTCGGACACCGTGCTGCTGTAAGGATCGCCGACGATCACGTCACCCTGCCACCCCGCGCAAGCTTGATGATCGCCGTCTATTGTGAAGGTGCTGCTCCTGATGTCGACGCTATCGTGGAGACTGACCAAAGGTTGCTTCTAGACCGCGGTGTGTCTGTCGCAAGAGGCATTGCGCGGTTTAAGCAACGCAGATCCCACGTTTTGGTCACCAATTTCACCGAGGAGTACCAGCATCTAAACAAGGACGCAGCAATTGCGTTCCACGAAGAAACGCAAGAAGCGAGTCAAGTGATCGCGGTCGCCACCTTTGAACGCGCACACGCAGATGCTTCCAAGCTGCCACATCCTTTCGACGTGAACCCGGCGCTGTCACAAGAAAATCGGGACAAATTACTGGAGTTGCTCCGTCGCTACAGCGAGTGTTTTTCCTCGAACTCGAAGTTACGTCAGACACCTTTGGCGAAGCACCGGATAATAACCGAAGATGGAGCCCGACCTACCAGACAGCCACTGTACTGCGTTTCTTCACACGAGCGCGAAGCCATCCGGACTCAAGTAGATGACATGCTCAGCGACGACATAATACAGCCGTCGAAAAGTCCGTGGGCTGCGCCGGTTGTACTCGTGAAGAAAAAAGATGGCACTTTAAGATTCTGTGTTGACTACCGGAGACTAAACAAAATCACCAAAAAGGACGTGTACCCCCTGCCACGAACCGACGACGCCCTCGACCACCTCTGCCACGCCAAGTACTTCTCATCCATGGATCTGAAGACCGGCTACTGGCAAATTGAAGTGGACGAAAGAGACCGAGAGAAGACTGCATTTATAACCCCGGACGGTCTATACGAGTTCAAGGTGATGCCGTTTGGGCTGTGCACGGCGCTCGCAACGTTTCAGAGAGTCATGGACACTGTGCTCGCAGGCCTGAAGTGGCACACTTGCCTCGTATACCTCGATGACGTTGTCGTATTCGCCCGGACTTTCGACGAACACCTCACAAGGTTGGAATTTGTACTCGAGGCCATTCGTACGTCGGGGTTAACGCTGAAACCTGAAAAGTGCCATTTCGCGTACGAGGAACTCAAGTTCTTGGGTCACGTCGTGAACGCCGCGGGAGTCCTACCTGACCCGGAAAAAACATCAGCCATTGCGAACTTCCCAAGGCCGAAAGATAAGAAGGGTGTGCGAAGGTTTCTCGGACTGTGCGCATACTACCGGCGCTTCGTCGCAAACTTCGCACGCATTGCAGAGCCACTCACGCGCCTGACGAAAGAAAGCACCCCTTTCAGCTGGGAAAACGACCAAGAAAAGGCATTCTGCGAGCTGCAACAACGCCTGCAAAACCCGCCCGTGCTCGCTCATTTCGACGAAAACGCCGAAACGGAAATGCACAGGGACGCCAGTGATATCGGTTTGGGTGCCGTCCTCGTCCAAAAGCAAAGCGGTTACGAAAAGGTAATCGCCTATGCAAGCCGTGGTCTGTCGAAGGGGGAGAGAAACTACTCTGCCTCCGAGAAAGAGTGCCTGGCTATCATATGGGCCATTTCAAAATTTCGCCCATACGTCTATGGTAGACCGTTTAAGGTTGTGACAGACCATCATGCGCTGTGTTGGCTCGCCAATTTGAAGGACCCCTCTGGCCGTCTTGGGCGGTGGAGCTTGCGCCTGCAAGATTTCGACGTTACAATATTCTACAAATCCAGCAGGAAACACTCCGACGCCGACTGCCTGTCCCGCGCCCCCGTCGACCCACCACCACAGGACTCCGATGAAGACAGCGCGTTCTTCGGAGTCGTGACAGAGAGCGACCTAGCCGCCCAGCAGCGTGCCGACCCTGACCTCCGCGCCATGATCGACCTCCGCGCCATGACCGTGCCTAGGGCGTTC